AGCCACTATAAGTTTAAAGAGAAATCTGGCACTAGGGAATTGTACAGAGATTCACAAGGTTGACCCCCAACTAGGAATCTAAGCAATAGTGGAGAGGCTACCTTAAATGCCCTTTCACTATAAAGAGAATGATGACTACCTTAAATGCCATCCTAGAGCCTTCATCCAATAGCTGATAGAAGTAGAAGCAGAGATCCACAACTAAGCACTGAGCCAAACTCCTGGAATCCAGTTTCAGAGAGGGAAGAGTGGTGAGCAAATGGGTCAAGACCATGCTAGGAAAACCCACAGAAACAGCTGACCTGAGCTAGTGGGAACTCATGGACCCCAGTTTGATAGCTGGGGAACCAACATAGGACCAAATCAGGCCCCCTGAAAGTGTGTGTCAGCTAGGAGCACTGAGCAGTTTATGGAGCCTCTGGCAGTAGAACCAAGGATGAATCCCTAGGGCATTCAGGAGCTCATTTCCCTTGATGGGATACTATGTTAGCCTAAATACACAGGGGAGGGCCTAGGCCCTGCCCCAAATGACTTGACAGATTTTAATGTTCCCTCATAGAAGGCCTCACCCTCCCTGGGGAGTGGATGGGGGATGGGATGGAGGGGGGTCAGTGGGGGCATGAGAGGATGGGAGGGAGAGGGAACTGGGATTGATATGTAAATTAAGATTGTTTCTAATTTAAGTAAAATTTATATATAAAAAATTTCTGTGCTGAATCCATCTTGCTCTGGGTCTATTTTAGTTGGGAGATTTTTAGTTGCTACTTCTAGCTCATTAGCTCATTGTTATATTATGGATCTATTAATTTACTTCATTTTCATTTAGCTTTGACATGCTATAACTATCTATAAGCTAATCTCTTTTAGGTTTTCCAGTTTGATGAAATATAGACTTTTTTTAAAGCATGTCCTTATAATTCACTAAATTTCCTGTGCTTATTGCAATGTCTCCTATTTTATCCTTAATTCTTTAAGGAAATTTAGATTCTTTCTCTACTCTTTTGGCTTATTTGGATAAAGGTTTATCGCTCTTGCTAATATTTTCAAATAGAACAACTCTTTATTGGGATGATTCTTTTTATTTTTATTTTTTGTGTTTGTATGTTACTGATTTCAGCCCTGATTTTGATTATTGCTCCCTGACTTTTTTGTTGAAGTGATGCGTGTTCTTGGCTTTCTGTCTTTCAGGGATATCTTTACATTGTTCATTTGACATCACTTAAAATCTTAATGTAGGCACTTAGGGCTCTTAAGTCTCAGGAATGTCTTTGGTATGTCCCATAGATTTTAGTGTGTATATTTACTTTTTTGTTCAATTGCAGGAATTTCTTTAATTTCCTCCTTCATTTCTCTCTTGACGTAATTATAATTCAGTAGTGTGTTGTTTAGTTTCCATGAGTTCGTGTGCTTTTTCTTGCTGTTGAAATCCAGATTTATTACACTGTGATCAGATTGGATGTAAGGTGTGAGTTCAGTGGTACTATATTTGTTGAGACTTGCTTTGTGTCCTATTAGGTGGCAGATTTTGAAGAAAGTCCCATGGGCTGCTGAGAAGATTGTGCATTCTTTAATCCTTGTGTGGAATGTTCTATAGATGTGTGTTATATAAATTTGACTTGGTTTTCCCACCAAATAATCTGTCTATTGGTGAGAGTAGGGTATTGAGATCACCCACTATCAATGTGTTGGCATCAGTCCGTAGTTTGATATTTAACAGTGTTTCATTTATGAAATTGGGTTCCCCTGGGTTTTGTGCACATATATTTTGGACTGTAATATCCCATTGGTGGATTTTTCTTCTAATAAATCCTTCTCTATCTCTTCTGACTAGTTTTGTTTTGAAGTCTGTTTTATCAGATATTAGAATGTCTATGACTGCTTTTTTCTCAGTTCCATTTGCTTGGAATACCTTCTTTCATACTTTTGCCATAAAGTGATGTCTATCCTGATAGTGAAGTTTGTTCCTTGGAAGCCGTGAAAAAACAGATCTTGTTTTCTAACCCAACCTGCTAGCCTGTGTCTTTTTATTGGGGAACTGAGACCATTTATATTCAGACATATTGTTGAAATGTGTCATTTTATGATTTTATTGACCTCTTGACTTTTTCTTGGATCTCTTTTGATTAGCTGCTCTGGTATTATTTGAGCTCCTGGATGCACTTACTCTTCTCTTCAGATTGAAGTATTCCTTCTCATCCCTCTGTAGAGGTGACTTCATAGTCAGAAAGTCCTCTAATTTGTTTTTATCATAGGAATTTTTATCTCTCCTTCAGTTCTCATAAATTGTTGTGCTGAGTACGTTAATCAGGATGGCAACTGTGATCTTTAAGGACGTGGAACACAGCTTCCCAGGCCCCTTTGGCCTTAAAGGTTTCTGCCAAGCAACCCAGTATGACACCTGGGCACACTCGGTACATAACTTGACCTTTCTGTCTTACAGATTTCAATGACCTTTCATTATTCTGTTTCTAATGTTTTGGTTGTAATGTGTCAAGGAGAAATTATCTTCTGGCCTTGTTTGTTTCACATTCTGAAGGCCTCTTTCTACATGGATGGCATCTCTTGCTCCAGGTCTATGATTTTTCTGGTTTTTTAAATGTCTTGTCTATGGTATTCTGCTTCATGAACATAATTCAGAGGTAGGGTTTTTTATATTGTTTTTATCTGTCAGGATTTGAACAACTGGGTTTAGTTTGTTGGTTGCAATTTTTTTCTTTCTTTTTTGTTTAAATTGCCTTTCTTCTCTCCCCATGAGCAATTATAATGTTCAGGAAGCTACTGGTACAAAGGTTGGGGATGTTGATTGCCCTTGATTTTCTGGTTTTGGAGATACAACCTCTTTCTCAGGTCTTCTGCTTCTCAACTACAATTTGATGTCTTCAGTGGCTTGGTCCAGGAGCACAGAACAAGTTTCCCCTGGAACAGTGTGGACCTCAAGATGGTCTGGAGATGGGCTAGGACAATGAGAGGGTCAGAGCCAGGCAGGTGACAAGGGCTCTGGTGATCCCCAAAGGAGGAAATGACCTGTATCTTCCAGCTACGTGTTGTGGAACAGGTTGAGAACTACTGAATCCCAAATGGAGGAAGGGGGCCTGGAGGAGGTCTCAGTGAGGTGCCTAGAATGAAGTATCATAATCTAAGGGTACGGCACTCTATCTATCTAGCCATGTTTCACCAGAGCAGCCCTGGGAGATGGAAGAGGAGTAGAAGCACATCACCAGCCCATAGAATCTGAGTAGATTATCAAAACTCTCATAATCCCATGGGGAGTTCAAAAGATCCAATGTCTAGGCCCCTAACACGTACCGAGGCTGTGAGAAATAACATAAACCTCAGAGTGAAAGAAGCTAGCTATAGGTTTAAACCTCAGCAGAAACTTGAATTCTTCTGCCTTAGTTTTCCCCCTCTGCAAAATGGGAATAATATGACATTTGTTGTGGGGATTCACACAAGGCAGCTGTGACTAGAAAATTCTAATAAAGTCCTAGAACACAGAGAATACTCAGTTATGTTCACCTTGCTTGTTATGGCTATGAATAAATGTTGCAGTGTAACCCATCCATCCTGGCAAGATGGAAGCCAATACACATTGTCTTTAAATGATCAGAGACCGTGGTGACATCAGCTTCTGCTGAGTACCACAAAGAAAAACTCAGTTGCTATTCATATTTTATTCATCCACACCTTGAAATATTTAATCCACATAGGAAATATCTCCAGCATTTTAAATTTCCCTGTCAACGTTTCATGAAAATGTTTCCAAAGCAATTTAGAACTGTACATTCATGAAGTTGGGAAATCATATTCACAGAAGTGACACAGCCAGATCGCCCAATTTTTCAGAAGTTGTTTTTCAAGCAGCAATCCATGCTAACTTTAGCAATTAGTTAGTTTGCCAACTTTTGCTAAATGCCGTCCAGCCTTAAGAACCTCACAGTCCTGCAAGAAAGTGCTTGCCTTGCCATTTACTGCAGCTTCCTGTTTAACACTGTCAGGGTGAACATCTAAAGTCCACCTTCAAGGAGAAAGACTGAGTCACGTGAGAGTAAAGGTTAGGTTGCTAACTCAATGCTGCATTCCCCCCCACCTGGTCCAGAGCCTTGGAACCCAGCAAATAACCAAGAGCTGTCCCTTGGATTGATGGATGGATGGATGGATGGATGGATGGATGGATGGATGGATGGATGGATGTTTGCGTGCATGCATGCATGGATAGATGGATGAAATGTTTTCTGTGAGTATTTGAATGGGAGTTAAATACATTTCTTTCCCCTGTCATACTGTGGCTTAGAGTCCAAGAGACACCATAGTGAATCCACATCAGAATTCAAGATTTGGGGAGATTTCTTATGAAACAGTTACAGAACTGTACTGTCCTAAGACCCTAATTACCCTTGGCTTGAGTATCTACAAGAAAACTTTGCAGTGAATTGCCCACAGATTATAGGGGTGTGGGTGCTTGTCAGGTTAAAGAGCCCCCACAGGATCTCTCCTTCTCAAATGACTAGAGTGGGCTTGTTGTGCTGCGTCTGCAGACTGCTCTAGAGCTCACATCCATGGCAGGTACACTGGCTCTTGTTAGTAACAGGTGAGACCAGCTGTCTTGCTCCATCCTGATTGAACCAGACTTTGCACTGCTTGCTTCTCCTTTACAGTGTTGCACTTGTTCAAAGTTTCAGGTCACACTCACAGACTGATCTATTGTTTTCTCTCCAGGAGGGGGAGAGACGATTTAGGTACCTGGCACCCAGCAAAACCCAGAGTTACCGTGGAATTCTTCAAAGTAATACAGGGCTAGATGAAGGGTTCCTCGCTGGTACAACCAGGTCACAGGCCTAAGAAGGTTTGATGGGCATGACTGGCTCTGTCCCCAGAGCGTACTCTGCTCTCATCTGGGCTTTGCTGCCTAGAGCTGAGTTGCTTCCCCTGGCTCCCTGTAGAACCTCCACACTCCAGGAATTTGGACCGAGTGGTAGAGACATCGCCGGCAGAGACGGCAATCGCCAGCTTCCTCCCTGGGGTGTCTTGTGATTCAGAGCACATTCTGCTCCACTCTTTTAAAAAGGGCAGCATGTTGACACTCAAGACTCAAGAACAGAATCAAACAAGGAAACAGCCGTTTGATCAGAGTCGGTGAGTAAGCAGCTCATCCCTGGTAGCCATGGCAGGACATGGGTCACATGGAACCTGGGCGTCAAAATCTGTTTGCTGAGGGTTGCCAGTATTCTGGGGAGTTTGTAGAAGCTGCAAGAGCTCTCGAAGTAGGGTTTTAAGCTTTCAGTAATGACCCTAGACTAAAGCCCACTTTCTCTGCAAACACACACTCCCCATGCAAATTCCCACTCCCTGGGTTCCAAGGTGGTGTGCATTTGTGCTCAGCTGTGAAAGGCAGAGCTGCAAAGCATGGCTTTTTCTCTAGGGTCTTCATCTAAAGTGAACACCACTGAGCCCAGGGCCTTGCTTGGAAGATTCTACAGGAAGCGCTTTGCACTAAGCCTCCATCTCCCATCAACCTAGTCTAGCCCCACAGTTAAAGCACTTAGTGAAGATTGCTACTGTCTGTCCGCTGGCACAGCCATTGGAAAGGCTGCTCTGTTCTCCTCGGGCATTGCTTTCTTACTCGTGGTACCCTGTCTTCCTCGGAAGGGCACAGTTCTGAGGAGGGGCTTTCTTTTCATTGATCTCTCTGTGAACTAATCCACGTAGCATGGATTCCAGTGTTCTAGTCCCAGCTATCTATCTCATGCATCTGCATCCATCTTCGGATGCACATATGCATTCTTGATATTTCCTGGAGCACTCTTGAAAGCCAGGATCTGTCATAGCCCTGTTATTCTTCCCAGACCGAGGAGTCACTGAGTTCTTTGGAGCACAGCCACCATGTCTGTAGCTGTGATAGCTAATATGCTCATTAGAATATTAACCCAGAATCTATACTCTCTTTAGCATAGAAGATAATCTTGGAGTGTGATTAATATATAATTACTCATGATAAATCTGACACAGCTATAAATAGACTAAGTGCTAAGAAACAAGGGATGCGATGCATGTTTGGCATTTCTTTTCCCAACATAATGAGTTCCCCGCCCCGACATGATCAGGACTTTCCCAAGGCCATATATGCAGTAACAGGCACAGACCTTCAAGCACATGATTGAGTTTTCAAACTGATCTCAGCCAAGTCAAGCAGCCTAGCCACGCAGGATCATGGTGGGTAGTCAAGAATGCTCAATGAGCCTGTCCTTTGGCCCTTCCTGGACACTGGAAACAGAGCTGGGTGCCCCAGTTCTCAGGAGATGAGACTTGCCGTCATCACTGTCACCAGCGTCACTCCTTCCGCTCCTCCTCCCCCTGAATTGCAGGTGTCCAGCCTCCATGCTGCCTCTCCCGCTGGTCACTCTCTTTCTTGTCTCCTCCGGCTTCTCAGCTGGAGGAGGTAGCCCTCTCAGTGAAAGCCTGTGGCTGCTGAAGACTGAGTTTGCCCTTCACCTCTACCGGAGTGCAGCAGCAGAGAGGAACGGGACAAACTTCGTCATCTCACCCGCCAGCGTGTCCCTCTCCCTGGAGATCCTGCAGTTTGGAGCCCGGGGAAACACTGGCTGGCAGCTGGCAAGTGCCCTGGGATATACTGTGCAAGGTAAGTGGCTCTTCTCTCATGCTTCGCCTGGTCCCTGCTCCTCCTCCCCACCCAGGTGCTCCCGGGAGTGGCGAGCTCAGCTGCAGGTGTGTACACTACACAGAGGTGTGGCCATGCGTGAAGCATGCACTCAGACCTCACAGCCATGCTTGACTGCGGAGACTCCCTTCTAGAATCATGGCAGTATTTCAGTTCTGCATCTCTCCCCCTTTCATAGTGCTGGGCAGGGTGGGAAACACCTTATAAACATTCGCTCATTGCCTCAGCACCCCTTTTGAGGCTGGTGATTTCATTGTCACCCCTGTTTGGGGAAGTAGATGGGCACAGGGTAGAAGTAACTTGCTGGGGGTCACACAGTCAATCAGGGGCAGGGCTGGACTTAAATTCAAACTGTTTCGAGCCAAGGCTATGCTCTGCACCAACCTGTTCTCACGATTCTGTGATTTCTGGCCAGTGCTCAATCTGCCAGCTTATATCTATATATTGTGTATCTCAGAACAGCTCTGCTGACAGCAGTGAGAGTCCATAGAACACAGGTCAGCCCACATCGACATACATTCCTGGTGCAGCTCAATCCTTGACCAACTATAGCTGTGGCAAACACGACCTTCCCTTCTGAAGCTCAGAAGAGGACGCCAGTGAAAAGCTTACTGTGGTGATGGAGATGGATGTCTCAATTCCAGGCCATTCTGTTATGTAGCAAGAGCCCCTTTTCAAAACAATGAACAAGTCACTAGAAATGACAAAGGTGGTCTTTGTATGAATTACGATTTTTCAGAAGGCACAAGAAATAATGCCAACCCAGCCTGGCCATGGCATCCTTTGCTGTGGACCCTTGAGCTGCCAAGTCAAGGTTAGTACTCAACATGCCAGGTACCAAGTGTCACCTGAACTGCCTGCCCTCCTCTGTGTGTACTCTGGCCACTGCTTAAACACTCCTGCTGGACAACAGATAGATTTGTTCTCTCTAGGGACAACTAAAATCAAAGGCAGTCTTTAGAACTTAGTTGTGCTCCACAGTTATATACCATAGCAGTGTACACATCCTCGGGCTCCCATTAGAGTCCACGTAATATTACTCACCAAGTGTCACGGTGCTCTTACCATGAGGGCCACGCCTGGGGAGGGACTTGGCTTATGTACATGAGGAGAACTTTGAAGGCATCAGCTCTGTCCCAGGGGAGCAACACGTGTAGATGGGGGTGGATGCCGTGTGCTTTTGTCATTCCACCAGCAGGTCAGAGGATCCCTTGAAGGCATTATGTGTGACATGGCCAGGAGAAGAAATGTGACTATGAAAGAAAAGGCAGGCACTTCAGCCTTCAGAAGAATCTCACACACACAAGTCAGAATGGTTGGGTTGGGACATGCAAGAGGGTCAATTCTGAGAGCAGATCCCATCATGGTACCTGGTTAACAGCTACCTGCCAATCCCAGTCTTTCTTTTAAAAGGTAATACAGGGCTGGAAAGATGTCCATAGCATAGCAGTTAAAAACACATGCTTCTCTTGCAGAGGACTCGAATTCGGTTCCCAGCACTCATGTCAGAGCTGTAACTCCAGCTGTAGAAGATCCAATACTGGTTTCTGGCTTTTGAGAGCATTGCATTCATGTTCACAAACACACCTAGACACAGAATTTAGCTCTTAATATATTTTTAATTCAAATATAATTACATTACTTTCCCTCTTCCCTTTCCTCCTTCAGCTCCTTCCCTGTCCCATGCATAGCTTCCACCCCCTTGCTCCTTCTTGAAAGCATGGCCTCTCTTTATTTGCTATCAACACACACACACACACACACACACACACACACACGAATACCTAAATATATAAACACAACCTGTTCCGTCCATTTACTGTTACTTGTGTATGTATGATCAGGGTTTGACCACTTGGTATTGGATAACCAATAAGGGGGAGGCTCTTCCACGAGGAAGGCTATTTCTTCCTTTCTCCGCATTCCTCAGTTGTCTGCAGCTCTTTTTCTAGGGCTGAGGCTCCATGAGATTTCTCTGCTGTATTAGCATGTCTATTGGGGTTGTACTTGTTCTAGTCTTTTTAGGCAGCCATACCATTGAGATTTCTTGGGTAAAAGTCCCTGTCATTTGTAGGAGACACAATCTCACAGTAGATTTCTTGGTCCTCTCATCCTTACAGCCCTTCAGCGCCCCTCTCCCTCACTGTGTTTCCTGAGGTGAAGGAGTTGTGCTGCAGGTGTTATCAGTTGGGTCTGGGCACTTCAGAGTCATTCATGCACTGCATTTTGACCAGTTGTGGTGTTCTGTAAATGGTCTCCAATCTGTTGCAAGGAGAAGTTTCTTTGATGAAGGTTGAGAGCTACTCTTATCTGTGGGTATAAAGAATAAATCCTTGGAATGCACTTAGGAATCATGCTGGTTTAGTAAAGTAGTGGTTGTAGGTTCTGCTCTAAGATCTGTGTAGTTGATTAGGTTTCCTGTTGAGTGAAGCCTTTTCCCCGCCAGCCGCTTGGTCTCTGCCGTGTTGTAGTCCCCAAATAACACACAAGACACTGTATTAATTATGAAACTGTTGGCCTTGCTTGTTTCTTACTGGCTAGCTCTGACTTAGGTATTTAACCCATCTAAGTATTTCTCTTACTGGACGGACATCTTACTTCTATGGCAGGCTACATGATGACTCCTGTGTTTCTCCTACCCAGAGTCCTCCTGGACTCCTAGTCCCACCTATCTTGCTTCCCTATTGGCCAACAGTGCTTTATTGACATATACATAGGACTTCCCCATCAGTTTCCCATACCAACAATGACTTCCCTCTTGTTGAATGGGTCTTAAGTTGGATTAGACAGCTCTTGGTTACTGACAAGGTATGCATGCCGCTACTACACCTCTGGGGTTTTTGTGCCATGCTGGTCATTGCTGTGGTTCTGCTGGGTAGCACTACTGGCTGCTTTCCTCCCTTGGGAGCTGGTAAAGCAACTTCTAGTACTGAGAAAACGAGTCCTCAGGGAGAAGGCTTTCAAGCCAGATCCAGCTTGGATTCTCTAGGCCTTGTTCCATGGGAATGCATAATTTCCCAATGCTCCATCTTCTAAGCATTTTCATTATTCTTCTAGGAAAATTAATCAGAACATTTTAGCACAGCGGCTTCAGAAAGGAAGGTGGTCTAGTCCCAGGCAAAGAATTCTGTTTTGTAGTGCATACGTACTGAGTTTTCTTTTACAACTATGTCATTTGGTTCTCACAGACTACCTAACAGGACAGGTAAATGGCTTAGCCAAACCCAGCTGGTCCAGTGACAGCTGGCAGAGGCAGGATTCAAGCTCCAGATTGTTGATTTCAAATCCTGTGCTCTGTCCACAGCTCCTGAGCCCCACTCAGGCCAGGAAGCAGTAGCTTACTTTGTCTCTTCCTCATCAAAGGCAGCTTCATCACCCTCCCATCCAATCAACCTGCTGGGGAGCACTTGCACTCACCCCTCTAGAGTTCATGAAAATGCAAATATCAGTATTTGGAAGACGTTTCTCATAGTTTGAGATTTTTATGGACATGAATCGTCCAGAGTCTAGAACTCTGCAGAGTCCAGAGCCCAGATCCACCAGCTTTAGAGTCACCTATCAGATGAACTTAGGGGTGATTTTCAGTCCTTGAGCATTTATTTTCTTCTTCCTTTTCTCCCTCAGAACTTGTAAAAGCCACTTAATTATAGGTCCTCTCCCAACATCTTTTTACTTTGGAGGCAGGAGGCTGAGTAGAAGCCAGCAGATATAAAGATCTACTTGGAGAGCTTGGAGAGCCTTATCTCTGCTCTCAGACCATTCACATCTGCCCCTCTAGAAGGCCTTAGAATGTAGTAAACATAGTTCCCATTCCCCCAAAGTCTGTGTGCTCCACAACTCCTGTTCATCTGTTGAACAGAGCTCTCCCAAGCAGGAGCCCAGACACTCCTCTCCCTGAGGGCAACAGCACTACCTCCAACATGGTGACCCTAAGCAAATGAGATTTCCAGAGACCTACAAGGATGACACAACTGACAATCTAACCAAGGAGAGGCTACCTTAAATGCCCTTCTTCATAATGTGATTGACGACTTCCTTGAATGCCATCCTAGAGCCTTCATCCAGTGGCTGAAGGAAGCAGAGGCAGACACCAACAGCTAAACACTGAACTGAACTCCTGGAAACCAGTTGCAGAGAGGGAGGAGTGATGAGAAAAGGGGTTAAGACTTGGCAGGTGAATCCACAGCAACTGCTGACATGAACAAGGTGGAGCTCATGGACCCCAGACTGATAGCTGAGAGGCCAGCATGGAACTGATTCAGACCCCCTGAATGTGGGTATCAGTGAGGAGGCCTTGGCATTCTTTGGGGCCTCTGGCAATAGATCAGCATTTATCCCTGGAATCCAGATGGACTTTGGGAGCCCATTCCACGTGGAGGGATGCTGTCTCAGCCTGGACACATAGGAGAGGGCCTAGGCCCTGCCCTGGATGATATGACAGACTTTGGAGATCCCCATGAAAGGCCTCACCCTCCCTAGAGAGTGGAGTGGGGATTGGTTGGGGGCTTGGGGGAAGGTTGAAAAGGGGCAGGGGAGGAGGAAAGGGAGAGGGAGCTGGGATTGACATGTGAAGCAAGGTTGTTTCTAATTTAAATTAAGATAGACAGATGGATGGATGGATGGATGGATGGATGGATGGATGGATGGATGGATGGATGGATAAAAGAGCTAGTGGGGCAAGCCTAAGCTAATGGCCAAGCTTTCATAATTAGTAAGAAGTCTCTGTGTCATTATTTGTAAGCTGGTGGCTGACAAAAAAGCTTGCTACACTCTCCTCCGGAACTCAGCAATGTTCCTGAATCAGGAATTCAGGAAAGCACACTTTGCCACTTCCAAGACATCAGCAGACTCCCTTCCCACTAGATTTGTTTGTGATCTAGCTTGTCTTCTGCCCGACTTTTAAGCTATGGGTTAGGTGGATTTTGCCATATCCAGTGAGGGACTTTTGGGAGGTACTCTGAAGGTGTGTGCCTTCTGAGACAATCTGTTGACAGAAGTTTCTGTCCTGTCCCATCCTGCAACTGTTTAGTCCCAAACAAACATACAGATTGGAGTGGGGATTGGGTGGGGGCTTGGGGGAAGGTTGAAAGGGGGTGTGGGAGGAGGAGAGGGAGAGGGAGCTGGGATTCACATGTGAAACAAGCTTGTTTCTAATTTAAATTAAAATGGATAGATAGATAGATAAAATATAATCCCATATTAATTATAAACTGTTCAGCCTATGGCTCGGGCTTCTTATTGGCTAGCTCTGTCTTACTTATTAACCCACATCTATTAATCGGTGTATCTCCACACGGTCTTGGCTTACCAGTGATGCCTGAGTCTCTTGCTTTCTCAGCAGCTACATGGCATCTTCCTCGAGACTCACTCTCTGCATTCCTCTTCCCAGAATTCTCCTAGTCTGGTAGCCCCACCTATACTCCCTGCTTGGCTACATCCTGCCGGTCCATTGACTGAAACAACTTTATTCATCAACCAATAAGAGAAACGTATATTCACAGAGAGCAGAAGGACCTCCCCCATCAACAGTCAGCAGGTGGGAGCTGTGCAAAAGCTTACAAACACTCCTTTCCCACAGACCCAAGAGTGAGAGGGTTCCTGCACAGTGTGTATACGGCACTGCACAACTCCAGTCGAGGCATCGGGATGGAGCTGGCCTGCACCCTTTTCATCCACGCCGGGGCATCCCTGTCTCCCTGCTTTGTGCAGCAGGTCTCCTGGTGGGCCAACAGCAGTCTGGAGCCAGCTGACTTTGGTGAGTCCAACCGCACCACCATGGATGTCTCCAAAGGCACACCCAGACAGAACACAGGTAAAGGAAAACCATCCTCCCTGGCATGGCTAAGGGCAGAGGGCTGCAAAGAAACAGTGCCGCCCATCATTTGTCAGAGCCATGGTGAGGTTCAGTGTGCCCTGGATTACAGCAGAAGTTGAGATGGCAGATTTATCTCTGAGTGGCATACGTTTTCTGTGAAACAACCACAAGTGATTTGTTCCTCTTCTGTTCCTCTTCTTCCCACCCTAGAATAAATACACACGCCCACGCACATACACGCCCATAGTCGAGTACACAGACACACAGAAAGATGTTCCTCAGAGCATACCACCTCTGGAAATACCCTGCAGGATTTGTCCCATGTCGTTCTCCCCAGGCCATTTCTCACCAAGTTCTGGTTTCACCTACAATTAATGCCAGGTGAGAGCAAAAGGCAGCAGGAGCCAGGAAAGTAGCTTCTGGGAAACTTAGGTTAAAGAAACACACACACAAGGACAAGTTATAATCAATATGTTTCACTTGGTTCTATTGGAGGTTTGCTATGCATAATCCAACCATCAATGGCAGCCGCCATGTGCTCTAATCGTTATGAAGTGGGTGGAAGTCGCTAACATCTGCTAGCCTTTAGTTTATCTACTTAGTGCTGTTTGAAATTTAATTCCACTTCACTCACCCGTTGATCCTAAAAGGCGGAGGCTATCTTCATTTTACAAATGGAGGAACTGAAGCACCAAGGCTTGAGTTTCTTGCTTGCCCATGGGTCACCAAGCCAGCATTCCGATCCAGCTAGTTTGGCTGCAGTGTTCTCAGTAAAGATACAAAAGACTCAGATAAGTGCAGAGTATTTAAGATCCATTGTTGCTTAAAAACAGAACAGAAAGCTGGAATACATGCGGATTGGGTGCTGCACTCCCTCAATATTTTCAAATGTTCAATGCTGTCTTTGGCAATTTACTGCACAAGGAGTGATCCCTGGGGACAGAGAAATGGTTCAATTATTAAGAGGGTGGGCCAGGTAGCTCATAACTACCTTTAACACCCCGCCCCATGGAGAATTTGATGCCCTCTTCTAGCATCTACGGTTACTTGCTCTCATGTGTACATACCTGCACAGAGACAAACACATAGACACATAGTTAAAATATTGTTTTAATTAAGGAGTGATTCCCTTTATCCTCCTTAAGCTGCCAGGAGATCCACTCAAAATCCAACGTAGGTATTCTCAACTCAAGGCCTGGCTTCCCTTTAAGAAAAAGGACTTGTGTAGCTATCCAAAGCGATGACTGTGGAGCCCATCTGCTCAGATTCAAAAGCAAGGATCTTTCGGTGGGTGACTGGGTGGATGGTAGGATGATAATAATGTCCCTGAGCCTCGCTCCTCTCATCTGGGAAATGAAGAATGACAGGAAAAAGTCAGGGAGATTTCTTAAAGTGTTTAGGCAGAACCTACTAGCATAGCCTGTATTTATTAAACAGTTGAAGGCTTGGAACAGAAGCTGGCCCAGTAGGAATGGTCTGCTTGCTCCTTCCTGTTCTTACATGCAATTTTAACCACAGCCTGACCCCAACTGCACTCTGATCATAGTTGCCTCAGCAAAGGTGTGGTGATGCAGCTCAGCAATTAGGGGGCCCCAGGGTGGGGGTGACAGAGTGCAGTCTTTTCCAGGCATAGAGCTCACCTGTGCAAGCATCTGCCTGGGGAGACAGACAGTGCCTATTAATCTCTGGGAAATGACTCAACAGACCCAGGGGCATGCTGGACACCAGTTAGAGACAGGGAGGGGAACCACAATGAATACATGCTATCAAGAAGGCTGCAATCAAACTCTAAGGTGCCTCACTGGCCCTGAGCAGGGGTGCAATCATCGGGGACCCACTCTGAGCCTATGTTCTCACTTTGCATTTCCATGACAATAAGTTAAAAGCCAGTTAGCAGCTAATGGCTGTGGGTAGGTCCCTTGGTAGCATTAAGAATTAAAGCTTTTGTGGTAAACTGAAAATAACATGAAGTAGGGGAGGGAGTGGGAAGTAGGGAAGGAGAGGAAGGGAGGGAAGGAGGGAGGGAGGGAGACAGGGACAGAGAGAGAGAGAGACCCTTCTATCTATAGGTGAGGGCCCAGGTAGCCCCCTGTGGGAGCAGGCTGGTGCCCAGTCTGCTCAGCTCTCCATCATGAGCACCATGACCTTCCAAAGTACCTGGCAGAGGAGATTCTCTTCCATGGCCTCGCAGCCCCTGCCTTTCACCCGCGCCCAAGGCCTCGTCCTTCAAGTTCCTGCAATGCACCAAGTGACAGAGGTCAGCTACGGTGAGTCCTCCTCCATTCCCACATTCAGAAAGTTGGAAGAAACCCAGCAACTCAGAGAGGGGAGGGGGCCTCTGTTTCACAGGACTGGATGGACACATGTTTTCAGAGGATCCATTCTCTGGGCTGTGGGTGGACTGAAGGAAAGTCCAGAGTAGCAGGAGACTTACAGAGGGCCTTGAGTGCTGTACCCATCTGGATGCTGAGGACCCAGATGTGAAAGAGAATCCAATTTCATGCTTGGCATTGGCCTGTGCACTGTGTATGAACATGTTCATGTGAAATCAAAAATGCCTGGACCAAACACCTCTCCTAGAAGACACTTTCATGCCATAACCCCCAGCCAGGACCAAATGAAGGCTAAGAGGCCTCCACACTACAGAACCTCCTGGCCCTGAAATGCCATTGCTCTGTGTGGCACTCCTGCTTACGGTTACTTGTCCCAGTCAGTGGGGGAGGTTCCCAGTGCCAGCAGATGCCTGATGGCCTGCTGTGTGCCGTAGATGCCAGCGGGCTCTATGCTAAGGATGCGCCAGCGTGTGCAGTGGGTTCACCTGACACTCATCACCCTTCTCCCCACACCCCTCCCCTCCTCCAGCTCAGCATGTTCTGCTGTCTGCCACCTGTCCCACCACATCCTTCTGCAGCCACACTCTGCCTGGCGCCCTGGACCAGTCTTCAGCCAGCAATTTCCTTTGCCCACAAACGCCCAGCTGCCCCTCCTGAGACCTATCTGTTTAGGTCACAGTTTAAAATGATCAGCCCTCAAGTCAAATCCAGCCAGGATGTGTGTTTTGTTGGGTGTGTGGGATGTTTCAGAGTTGGGAAGTTTTCGTAGGAACTATAGACTTAAAGCCTTTCTTAAAGACAAGACCAAACACAAAGAGCCTGGGCCCCAATAAACCCAGGCTGGACTCAAGACACTGCCCCAGCAGGCCCAGTTGCTGAGCTCCCTGAGTAAGACCCGTGGGAGAGCTTAGGGGGCTTTAGGATCAGTAAAAGGGCCATGTCACCCCACAGCTCCCAGTCCCAGGCTGCTTTCTGAGGCTGAGATTGGCACTCTGATTTACGGTTGCTGTCTTTTTTCTTTCTTTCTTTCTTTCTTTTAACTGTTGTGGGGTAAGGCTGCCTACCCCAGGTTGTGGCGTTGTTTGGTTTCCCTGACTCCTAGGACGGAGCTAATTCCTGACCCACTGAACCCCTAGGCCAGTTCCAGGACGCTGCAGGCCATAAGGTAGATGTTCTGGAGCTGTTGTACCTGGGAAGGGTGGCCAGTTTGTTCCTGGTGCTTCCCCAAAACAAGGACACCCCTCTGGACCTCATTGAACCACACCTCACAGCCAGAGCCATCCACCTCTGGGCCACCAGGCTGAAGAGAACCAGGATGGATGTGTTCCTCCCCAGGTGAGTGGTTACATCTTCCTTACAGGGGAATTACTATGGTGGCCAGTGGGGCTGAGCACTTAAGAGCCCAGTGGTCAGACTCCAATGCCCATCCTCCCACTGGACCAGTTTGTCAAATGAACTTAGGCCAAGGAGAAGTTCCCTGGGGTTTGAATCTATTCTGAAATCATTGCAAAGGAGAACATGGTACATCCTGTTGAATTAACTTCCTGGGTCTTCCAGAGATAAACTGCTCTCACTGGGCTCTCTCCTTGCTCCCGAGGTGTGTCACTGTGGAACGAAGAAGTTTAAGGAGGCACACTTGTGGGTAAAGTAGGGAAAAGGGAGCAGCCAAAGAAACACACTGGAATCAGAGCCAGCGAAAGAAATACACCCTGGCCCTAAAATTAGAGCCAAAAGGCTAAAAAGGACCGGTGAAAGAAACACACTTTGGCCCTAAAACCAGAGCCAAATCTGACCCTAACCCTGTGCAGAAAACTAGTCAATCCCTGAGCAGAAGATTAAAATCTGACCAATCCCCACCCTGGAAGCCCTATGTAAACCCTGTGTCTGTTCAGCTTGTGACTGCCCTACCAGGCTGTCCTCTGCCACTCTGGCAGAGGGCAGCCACTCTCCTGAATTCTTCCCTCCCAATAAGCCCTTTCGATGAGCTTTGGGTGAAGACCTTCTTTTGCGGTGGAGCAGAGATGACCCTGGGCAGAGCAGAGCAAGGCTGTAACTCTTTGGCCAGGGAAACCTTCCCCTGGCAGAGCAGAGTTGTTACACTCGGCTCTCCACTTTGCCTGGAGCAGAGATGAACTGCAGCAACTTCTCTCGGGAAACCTTTTCCGGAGCAAAACTGCTACACTGGGCAGCTGGAAGGCCCTCTCTAGCTACAGCAGAGCCTGTACACTGGGGAAGCCTTTCCCTGAGGCAGGGCTGTAAGCTGCTATGCTTACCGCAGCCTGTGGTAGTCCTTGGCTCCTGAGCTCCAGGATACCTTTCCACCTGAGCTGTGTAACAGTATTCTGTGACTCCCATCCGATTCACCCAAAATGCCTACAGGTACAGCTGTCATTGACCAAAGAGAAAAGATGGCTTATGTAACTGAGAAAGCATATGTGTAATTCTGGTCAGAAACCAAATTAAGATACAAAAATTCAAGATTTTTCCAGGCATGGTGGTACAACTGTAAATTCAGACCATCAAGATGATGGTAGTCAGTGAGTTCAAAGCCATCCTGGGCTACAGAGTGATATCAATTAGCCTGGGCAATTTAATGGGAGCCTGTGTCTATTAGCTAGTAAATTCAAGGCTTGACATCTTTATGCGGAAGATACATTAGTTCTAAGTGGAGAGGTTCCTTCCTTGAAGAAAATCCAGTTGATACAAATACACATGGCAAAAAAGAAAAAGAAAAATCTAATGATAGTACTAGCTCTTATTTTCCAAAGCAAAGATGTTAGCAAAAGTCATTGTTTTACAAAAGGGTTCTGCCTAGAGTTTCCGAATGATGAGCTTGTCTGGCAATTTGAGGAGGTTCAACAGAACTTTGTAGGTCAGTATTAAATGCATAGTGTTGCTGTCCGGAAGCTCACTTGCAGCGTGTGAATTCTTCACACTCCTATCTACTTTGGGCCTTGGTCACACTCCAAGAACAAGGCTCCCAGTGGGTAAAAGCAAAGGTCTTGGCAATGCTCCCTTGGGCAGTTAAAAATAAGTCCATCTCCTGGAGCAAAAATATACAAGGAGAGCTCCAAGGGGGCAGAGCCCAGGTCTAAAATGAGATCAGACAAAACAAAGAGCCAAAGGTGAACTCAGAGCCAAGACAAAACCCCTCTCTCAAAGCTAAATGCTCAGCCTCTGCCAGAGCCCCGATCTTGTGACATTTGGGAATAATAAGTGCAGGAGGGAAGGCTGATCTTGCAGTCAGCATGGAGAGAAAGTGCAGCCCAGAGAGGAACCTGCTCTCACATGAAAATGAGTAGGTTGGCCTGGAATGGTTAATGTAAGAAGAATCCCCTGGGAGCACTCAGCAGTGACCCTGAAAACACAGGACAGAGGAGGAGGAAGTCTGAAGGACTCACAATGACTCAAACAACCTTGTTCTGATAAACATATGCAATCACCCCTGGGTATCAAGCGTCCAAGCCAAGACTAATGGAAGACTTTTAGTAAAACAAAACCAACCTCTCTCTCTCTCTCTCTCTCTCTCTCTCTCTCTCTCTCTCTCTCTCTCTCTCTCTCTCTCTCTCTCTCTCTCTCATTTGTGTGTGTGTGTGTGTGTGTGTGTGTGCGCGCGCACACAGCAGACCAAAGAAACAAAACCAACCAAACAGAAAGCCTAGTTATAAACTCTTTAGGGCAGTGGTTCTACACCTGTGAGTCACTATCCCTTTGGGGATCAAGTAACCCTTTCACGGGGGTCCCATATCAGATGTCTTGCATAGCAGACATTTATATTATGATTCATAACTAGAAAATTACGGTTATGAAGCAGCAACAAAAATAATTTTATGTTTGCGGGGCTCACCACAACATGAGGAACTGTATTAAAGGGTTGCAGGACGGGAAGGTTGAGAACCACTGCTTTAGGGAATGAACCAAAAAGTCAAAACTGCTATAGGCTGGAGTTTAGACACGAACCTTGGACCATAATAGACACAGTCAGCCTTTTATTGTTTGCTTGCTTGCTTGATTTTTAGACAGATTCTCACTATGTAACCCTGGCTAGCCTGGAACTTGCTATGTAGACAGGGTGGTCTCAAACTCACAGAGATCCACCTGCCTCTGCTTCTAGTGCCCAGGTTTAAAGACATGTGCCACTACATTCCACTCACAGCCAGCTTTTGAGTAAGAATTTACCTCTGGCTCCCTCAAATTATTTATTCACCATTTAGTTCAACATGCTCAGTGGTCTCACTATGTAACCCTGTTGGCTTGGGCTGTTCTATATTCCTAAACATGTTACTTTTTAGTTTCAGGCATTGTTTTTCCAAACCATTACAAAGCACAAACTACTGTCCTCAAGGTGGAATAGTTTTGGTCTGTCATTCAGTAAAATCTTTATGATGTCTAGAGCTTGTCTAAAAAAACAACAAGAACCTGGCTGTGTCTACCATGGTCCAAGGTATATGTCTAAATCCAGATCTTATCGTGTTTTTTTTTCAGTTTATCATATAATACATTAGACTCTCTGTCTCTCTGTCTCTATCTCTGTCTGTCTCTCTCTATCTCTGTCTGTCTCTCTCTATCTCTGTCTGTCCTTCCGTCTCTTTCTCTGTCTCTCTCTGTGTCTGTCTCTCTGTGTCTGTCTGTCTGTCTGTCTGTCTGTCTGTCTCTCTCTCTCTCTCTCTCTCTCTCGTAAACTCAATGTTATGTGGACCCATCCGTTGAAGCCCGCATATTTGAGAGTCAACAGCACTTGGTGTAAAGAAGAGGCCAAACCTTCATGTGTTCTAATGTGGCGATTGACCCAATATCCTATACGTTTGTTGAAAGGATCATTCTTTCAATCATCCTGAGTGAGGTAACCCAGTCACAAAAAGACAAACATGGTATGTACTCACTCATATATGGATTTTAGACATGGATCAGGAGAGTGCCAGTCTGCACCTCCACTGACAGAGAGTCTGGGAAACAGGAAAGAACCTAAAAGATATGCATGGTACCCAAGAGAAGAGAAATGAGGCAAGATCCTCTGAACAGATGGGGAACACGGCGAGGGATGGGGGAGAGGGGGACTTGGGAAATAGAGAGGGGGAGAAGTGGAAGAGAGAGTAGGTCATGGAGGAACAGGAAGGTTGACTGGGGGGAGTAGGATAGGGGGAAGAGGGAATCATAGGTTAGAAGACAGATCAGGCACCATTGTGACCTCTAGTGATCTAAAGGGATGACACCAATTGGCAAGCTAAGCAATAGTGTAGAGACCACCTTGAATGACCATTCCTGATAGTGAACTTGATGTCTATAACCATCCTGGAGCCTTCATCCAGTGACTGATGGAAGCAGAGGCAAACACCCACAGTTAAATACTGAACAGAACCCAAGGAACCCAGCAACAGAGAGAGAGGAGTGATGAGCAAATTGGCAAAGAATGGGCTGGCAAAACCAGCAGAGACAGCTGATCTGAACGGGGGAGAGCTCTTGGACCCCAGACCGACAGCTGGGAGGCCAGCATGGGACCAATCCAGACCCCCTGAATGTGAGAGTCAGTGAGGAGGCCTGGGCTTCCTATGGGGTCCTGGACAGTGGATCAGTGTTTATCCCTCGAATACTAACAGACATCGTGTGTCCATAACACAAAGAGGGTTGCTCTCTCTGCCTGGATTCTTAGGGAAGTGCCTGGACCCTACCCTGAATGAAATGATAGACTCTAGATATCCCCTATGCGGAAGGAATTGGCAATAGGGTGGGAGGATGGGGGGATGGTGGGGGGGTGCAGGAGGAGGGGAGGGAGAGGGAACTGGGATTGACATGTAAAACAAGCTATTTAAAATTAAAATAAAAAAAGAAAGGATCATTCTTTCCTTCATTATGTTGTCTTGACATCACTGTCTGATTGCCAAATAAATGGGTTTATTTCTGAATTTTGTTTGATTCTATGGGCATAGCTTCTTGTATTCTGTTGTGTCATTGTGACTCCTAGAATACCAGTCAGTCTAGAAATCAGGAGGTGACTCTAACTTGGTTCTCTTCTTCCTAAAGACTATTTTACTTATGAATTTTAAGATCAGCTTACTGGTTTCTGCCCAAAACAAGCAAGTTGGAATTAGACAGTTGGTTTTGTGCTTTTGGGTGTTCATGTCTTACACTTCTTTTACTAAATTTTTTCTTAGTATTTGACTTATTTTGGTGAATTTGAATTGAATTTCCTCTTCACGTTGTCGATATTAGAAATGCCATTGTTTATATCTTGATAGTGCGTCTCAAATGGGATTGTCTCAAATTAACTCTAATAGGGTTCTTCAATATTTTCTACATATAAGACCAAGTTATCTGTGAATTCATATAGTTTCTTCTTCCTTTTTAAAACTATTTTATGTTACAACCTTTTTTCATGGTACTGGGGATTGAACTCAGGGCCTCTTGCATGCTAGGCAAGTGCTGTAACCACTGAACTATATCCCTAGCCTTCATCTCCTTGCTGATAAGGATGCTTTTATCTGTCTCCTGTAACTGTTTTCCCATCCTACTGCACAAGGTCAAATAGAAGTGATGAGAGTGCTATCCTTGTCTTGTTCTTGATCTTAGAGGGGAACTTGAAGGAAAGATGCTAGGTGTTAGGATTTTGTAGACATTCTTCATCATCTAGAGTTATCGCATGTCCCAAGTTGGCTGAATATTTGATACTTGTTGGGGTGTTTTGTTTGAGCATTATATTTTGTTGTTTCAGTAGTGAGGTTCAAGCAAGTTAGGCACATGTTCTATCATTGAACCCCAAGTCCTGTTGATTTTTAATCATAAAAAGATGTTATATTTTGACATAAGCCTTTACTGCATTTGTTAAGATCATAATCCCTTACTTTATTAACATGTGTTATCTTATTTTCATGTCTTAAACACATCTTACACTCTTGCAATAAATTCTACTTGGTCATAGGCAGGATTTCTGTGGTGCTGGATTCATTTTGGACCCAATTTATTTCAAGTCAATCCTACTATGTTGTTGACAATTCATGGAATATGGCTTTACTTTCCTTAATACCTTGCTTTAATAACTAGTGTTTGTACGGAGGCAGGCAACTTCTTGGCTGTTTGCTCAAGTTACTTGGCTGTTTGCCATTTCTTGTAGTTCTGCTTTCATAATCATACAGGAATATCACTGGAATTTTTTGAAATCAGACCTGACTTTTGTTGCTTTTATTAAAACATATTATTCCGTTTTCTCACCAGCACATCTTTGGTTTCAAACAGACTTTAACTTTCTTACCATTACTATGAAGCCACAGTTAAAACACAATGCTAAGTGCCTAGGCCATGCTGGGCATTGTACTGAACACTTTACAAGAATTTTCACCTAGTTGTCACAACCCTATTTAGATTTTACTACTGCCATGCTTATTTCATATAGAAATAAATTAGGATTCTTATAGAGGCAACTTGTCACTGAGTCTGTAAAGCAATTAGTTCCTGGTGAGAGGAACCAAACTAGAAAGCCAGGTCCATAGTACTAATCATTATATTTAGTGTTTATGGGTTTCAAAAATGGTGTTTTCTATGCTTAAGGCAATTTCAGAAGTGGGCCAAAAAGTTTGAAATATGTCAACATATTTTTTTGTTTTTCTAAAGTTATATATGGTTTACATAAAAGGCGGTTTGAATTATATTTCAATTTTTTATTTTCAAAGACAAATAGCAATAGCAATCTATTTGAAGTCTTCTTCAACCGCAAGTAAATGCTTTGTCCTGGGGAAATGTTGGTGTGCTGATCTTTCTGCTCTCAGTGATTACAGGGCAATTCAAGGCTGAGCTTGTTCTCTGCTGCACATCAAAGGCACACACTGCACACAGCAAACATGAAAATGTTACACAGTAGAAAAGATACACAAGGTACTATAGCTACTTTTTTGCATCTATTATATCTGAGATTCTACCCAAATGTCAAGAGTGAAGTTCAAGAGAATGTGACTGGGCTCCAAGCGCCCGTAGCCAGATTTGAACTGAGGTGCATTGCATACTCATTAGTTCATTCTTGGGCACATTTCTTAAATACTTTATGCCTTGAATTTTTCACCTACTGCATAAGGAATAATGGCCATTATAGGAAGATGAAATAATTTCTATGATGTTCTCATCATAGTGTCTAGCACAGTGTCAACACTCACGAAATATTATTATTAAAATGAGCTGAGGCAGCTGCTCGTCTCAGGTCATTTATGGTGTCATAAAGAGTATTAATTGGAAGCAAACTGTTGTGTATACGCTAAGAGTACAACTTTGCAAATTGGGCTTTAAGAACCAGGAGTCACGAGGCTAGGGGTGGAGGTCAAATAATAGAATATTTGTTGAGTGTGCAGGAGGTCCTGGATCCTATCTCTAGTACCATTTTGATACAGAAAATCTGAGTAGGAGGGTAACAGCTAAGGAATGGAGAGTTATTTAAAGGCAGTCAAGGGAAACAGGGCTATCACAAATGAGCAGTATAGACAAAGCAGGGGGGAAGCCCAGAGGAGTCAGCGTGGTTCAAGGGATGGATGACTCAAGGAAAGGAACAAGGAAAAACACGGTGGAGTGGGAGTCCAGTGTGCACTGACCTCCAGTTAGAACCTCATGCTTGATTCGGTATGTATGAAAGAACAGTGAATTCTAAATAGCAACTGATAGTTTGCTTTTGTTTTGCAGGTTTCAGATTCAAAATCAGTTTGACTTAAAAAGCATTTTAGGATCATGGGGTATCACTGATCTGTTTGACCCACTCAAAGCTAACTTGAAAGGAATTTCAGGTAATAATTTTTCAATTCTTCTCATCTTTTGGGGGCATTGTGTTGGGGACAGTTTTGTTATACTCTGATTAAAGGAGTTTCCATCAACTTTTGACAGTAAAACACTTGCATAAAAGAATCAAGTGGGTGACTTTACGTAAGGACGTGCGGCCTCTGCTGACAGTCAAGTTTTGGTTAGATTTGGTGTGTGATGACATTAGAAACCACCTTAACAGTGGAACAGGTGTCCATAGGTAACAAGCCCTCATCCCTCTTCCACGACCAGACTCTCATGAAGACTAGAGGCAGCACCAGAACCTTCATTATGCCCTCTGCTGTCACATCAACACTATGCCGTTTCTACCCTTTAGTCCTTCCTGGCTGCCTTTAACTCTGCCTGCCTTTTGCAATGAGCTACGCACAAACCTTTCCTTTATCCATTCCTCAAATTCCCTGTACTTTCATGACCTTGCCTTAAGATGCTCTTCTTCTTAGCATCCATTCTCAACTTTTTTCCCCACAGTGGACATGCTACTGATGATCAATAGGGGTCATGTTTGCCTGTGGTCTGAGCTTACATTGCACACCGAAAGGAAAATGAATGTTAACATCTACATTGAAAATTTCTTGAAGGAACCACTGTCTCAAATTTTGCCAACTCAAAAGGCCCTAGATTGTAACTACTCTACAGATTATCTGTGGATAGAACACTACAGTAGACATTCCCATTGGTCTTGACATTGCCTTTACTCGATGAACTTGTAAGTTATCATTTTAAACAACAGATCATTGGAATACCCGGCATAAAACTTTGCTCAGAATCTTCCTTCTTAATCACAGAAAATAATGGGATTTTGATCTTCAAGTCCTGGCTTGTGCTTTAGACGTGACCAGACAGAACAACTTCAAGTCACTTAGTAAGTAAAGCATGGCAGGATGTTTCTAATTAGAGTACTAAAACTTTGCCATGTTGGGGCTAGGAATTCATAGTAGATTGCTTGCTGAATATGAACAAAGTCCTGGATAACATCTCCAACACTACAACACACATACATAGACACAGACACAGACACACACACCCCTCAAAAACCCATCTGCCACCTCTTTTCTAAATGTAGAGAGACAACAGTTAAGTTTTCTAGTGTCCACAATACTTGATATACAATTAGACAAAAGGCAATACTGCTGGCTTAGCTGAAATTTTCAACCAGAAATCTTCCTTATTAATAGGCATGCTTTGACACTGCAGAAAAGGAAAAACATAACAGCAAAATGATCAAAGGCAAGGAGAAGGGACAGCCACATTATACACATTCTATCTTCAATTATAGACAATTGTCATGTTGTCTTCTCAAGGCTTTAGAACTCAGCTACGGTGTCCCAGTAGCTAACGGAGATTCTATCACTCTTTTAGTCATCCAAATTAAAAACTTTAGGGTGTTGGGGTTGGTACCCAGTACCAGAAAGGGTGGGGGAGCAACTTTGAGGTTATTCTTGGCCCTCTCTTACACACTATTGCACTAATCCGTTTTACTGTTGCTCCTTCATAATTCCCAGCCTTTCTTCCTCAGCATCTGAGAAAGACATGTCAATCTTGTGTCCTTAAAGAGCAGTGGTCCTTACCTGTATCTTGCAGTCCCACTATAAACAAAAATACCCATGGCCTACGAGTGATCCACATTTTTGAGACAGGGTCTCTCACTGGGATTAGGCTCCACTGGGCAGCAAGCTACAGGACTCCACTGCCTTTCTCCCATACAGTGCTGGAATTGGATGCATGCACCATGTCCCTTGGCTTTTTAACGTGGGTTCAAGGAATCAAATTTGGGTTCTTATGTTTGCACAGCAAGAACTTAACCAACTGAGCCATCATCCCAGCCCGTCGCTGAGTCTTACAAGTACCATTGAGATGGCTCACATCTAATGCAATCCATTTACTTACATTTGTTCAAGCCAACATAATTATAGGCTCACAGATCTGGCTTATTTAATAATCCAGCATGTGTTAAATACGGAGATTGTATTCATGCTATTTACTGATGAGACTTAACAATCTTCTTCCACTGTTTTGTTCCAATAACAGTCAACAAACGATTACCCAACATCTGCTTTTATTAATTAAGCAGCTTACACTTATTTAAAATAATCTGCCAGGCAGTGGTGTCACATCCCTTTAATCTCAGCACTCAGGAGGCAGAGGCAGGTGGGTCTCTGTGAACTCGAGGCCATCCTAGTCTACAGAGTGAGTTCCAGGACAGTCAGAGCTATTACACAGAGAAATCCTGTCTCAAAAAACAAATAATATTAAAATAAGGCTGTTTTCATGCTATGGTAGTGATGTTGAGTCACTGGGACAGACATGGAATTGGTGAGTTAAAATTTTTAATATCTACCCATATATATATATATATATATATATATATATATATATATATATCTTGCCTACTAAGATAATTGCTTTCTGATACTCTTCTTTAAACATAATCCAAGATGACTCATGCCAGTACCCAAGTGGGCTTCTGCCTATTGTAGAGACAAGACCATTGAAACAAATGGGAAGCTACCACCCACCTCACCAAATGTATTACCTAATGTCTTGGTTTTTAAAATTAAAATTTTTGTGTGCATGCTGGGGTGGAGGGAATACATGAACCACGAATGTGCAGGTTAGAGGACAACTCTGTGACATCAGTTCTCTCCTTCCAAGGATTGAACCAAGGTCATCAGATTTGAGGCAAGCACCTTTACCTGCTGAACCATCTTATCAGCCCTATCTGCAGTTTTCACAAGAGAAGAAATGATCAGAAAACAGAGCCATCCTCTCTTCAACTAACAAAGGGTCACCACATTTTGGATTACTGGGGAACCCCAACAAAGCTTTTCTTTCCATTCGATCTCCAAACCAGAATCACTCACAATTCTCCTTTCTCAGCTAAAAATTACTTCTCTGTTCCTCCATGGCATCATTTTAAGAACTCGGTATTTCAAAGCTCACCTGAGCCCAGATATAGCTGTCCCTCCCCACTGACACCTTTATCTCTACAGATTACAAAGTCATTGAATTGTTCCAGTCTCCTCCTCACTGGAGAAAGCACCTGCTCTGGGTAATCCCCTTCCTTAAGGACCATCAGCAGCCTTTAATATATGGTCACACCTCCGGCTGAGATCTTCCTTGTGTACAAACTCAAGACTCTTAACAAACTCTCTTAGTCTTTGCTTTCATAAGCAGGAAGTCCACTTCCAATTTCTGCCAGTAAGAAGTTCAAGCTGTGTGCAATGACTTTGAATTAACTTGGGCCATAGGAAGTACAGAAAACACTGCACAGAAAACAAGCTAATTGAGCCACCCAAGAATCTTCCCAACACTTCCTATATCCTGGGCTAGCTGCAATGGTACATTACACATCTACCCTTCATTTCTTAGCTAAGTCAAAACATGAAAGACAAAAGGAAGCAAATGATGTACCATCTCTGTCCTGATGAGGAACTGGGGTCAAAATGCAGACAATGATTTACAAATGTGTGACCAACAGTATACAGAAGAATGATTGCATCTACCAACCAAAGGGGTGGGAACTAAATCCGGTGCTTCATCCTTCCTGATAAACACACCATCATTTCTTTGACACGTGTGTGGACTAAACATTATTCTAAAAGTTGAGCAAAGTAATAAAGTGAATGTCATAATTTCTACTTGCTAGAGCTAACAGTCTAAGAGGAAAGAGTAATCCTTAATAGGCAGTGCCACAAAGAGGAATGGGAAGCAGAGAAGAAAAAGCCCTCATATTTGCTGTGTAGCATGTGATATAGGCATTGATATGTTCATAGTTGGCTATGAAATGCTTTCCAGAAAGTTCAGCTAGTGAACTGGGATAAAGGGTGGCTTCAGGGTTGAAAGCTATGTATTACAGTTCTGCTGGAGCCACACTGTAAACATTAGCAAGTCAGCAGCTCCAAGAAAGTTTCCTGTGCACAACAATGTGGGCTCCATCAACCTGCATCTCCCACATTAAAGGAGACTTTTCTATATAACAACACCTATAAAGGATTCTAACAGCAAATTTCGGGAAAACAAGTTGTGACCTTTAATGGCACTAAGTAAATGCCAACAACTCAGATAAGCGAAGGCTAAGAAAACCTCTCAGCTTTTCCTGGCCATTTCACTAGTGGCATAACATTTCAATAGTCGCATGACAAAAGTGAGCAAGCTACCGTCAAAATACTAGATAAAGGAAGAACATGGTCTAGTCTACAGAAAACGTCAACTCTCCCCAAAGAACTTCAAAGATGTGCTGTTGATGGCATATGGTATTAGTAGACTCAGCTATGGTTATGTAAACGTCAACAATTATCAGGTCATTTTACAATCTGGTAGAGGGAGAAAAAGCTACTTAAGCAATTCACTTGCCTTTTCAAAGACACTAAAAACAACCCAACCTAGCTTACCGAAGATGTTTGTGCATTTGCTATATGTTAGCTGACAAGGAGTTTCAGAGGGACGCTGTTCTCATTTAATCATATCAAAATGCTCAGACAGCATAATAATAAGGAAGTCAGAGACAGTAAAACCTCAACTGGCAAAGATGCTTTTTAAATTTTGGCACTGTTGAAAAGCTAGAAGGGGCTAATAATCATTAAGAGAATCTTGTTTCTTCTCTCAATCAAGGTCAAGCAGAAAAAGGCCACCATTAAACTAATCTGATTCTCCACTGGTACCATGTGAATATCTACTGACTTCTTCCTTCCTGTGGCACTTGCCCATCTTCTACTGCCAGTAAACAGTTGTTCCTTACAGTGAAAATACCCATCTTCTGATATCCCATAGTCTTCTTGCAATGATGAGACAAAAGAATCTGTATCCTAGACTCATTTTTAATTTCACATGACCTTTCACATATTCTTATGTGCATGGCTAGTTCAGACCAATCAAACAAGCAAAGCTTCCCAAAGTGAATATGCAGGTCTCTCTGATGGTGTGCTACAGAGGGCAGTTGCTTGGAGGGAGTTGGGTAGAAATGGGCCTTGGGTTGAAACCTGGATATTCTCAGTTCTCATGGGGTGTGTGATATCACACTAGAACTTCCTCTGAAACAGAAGGGCTGAATAGCTTAAAGTCTTAGCTCTACACGCCCACCTTCACCTTTTATTGCAACACGTGTCATTTCTTCTTTGGAGAGTTGATAAATTACAGAAATCTGTCAAGCCTTCTAAGTTCTCTCATCACTATTTTCTAAGCTTCTATTTGAAACTGTTAGCACATATATCTAGCTAGAACCTCACATTTCTCGGCAGGTTCCAATCCTTAAGGTGAACTAACTAGCCAAGCAGCAAAGCCAGTGCCCAAGGATGGAGTTGTGGAGCACTGGGCATTTCTAACACTGGGTTATCCTCATAATATAATCCCATGACTTTAATCTTCAGTGTCTTCTTGAAAGCTACAGCCCAAGAAGACAGTCAAGAGGAAATTATCTCAAAAGCCTGTTGAAGTTGTTCCTGGGCAATAGTATCTATTTTATAACACACTCGAGAGCCCAATAACATACCTAAGTTTTAGGAATATAGACTAAAAGAAAGACACTATTGACTAATAATTGAATTTAGTGAATAAACCCTTGAGAGTTGGAGAAAAATAATTAAGCTTGGCAGTTTTCTACAGTCACTCTGTGTATTCTTGCAGCACTGAGTACTTGAAGTTTTACTTATGAGTCTTTAAACACATACACGATGTGTACAGAAAATATAAATCACTTTATGTTTCTATCATTTGCAAATTAGGTCAAGATGGCTTTTATGTTTCTGAAGCAACCCACAAGGCCAAGATGGAGCTTTCAGAGGAGGGCACCAAGTCATCTGCAGCCACAGGTACATCCACAAGTCCAAGCACTAAGCACCCTGGAGCGGCTCACCTAGTCTCACCTTGTTGAGTCTGCCCAGCTGACTCCAGTAGTAAACCACACCACTTAAGCCCCAAGCCCAGGCCCAGGTGTGATGTAGTATTTTATAAAAAATGACAGAAGGCAAAATCCTTTTGAAAAGTGAGGACCAATTTTAACAAAGTATCATTGCCCCATCAGTATTTCACCTTAGAGAGAAGCTATTTCATGGGATATCTTAAAAATGAGACACAGGATTGATTAGTATCTTTCCTCTTTAATTTCACCATTTGCACTCTTATAGTACTACACAGTAAAATGTCACTAAGATGCTTTAACTCCTTAAAGGTATTATCAAGGTTAGTCCCTATGTATCTACATCTGTATGTGTTTTGCAGTGATAGGAAATGTGACAGGGTCTATTCTCTCCTCAGCTGTGCTGCTGTTAAGGAGGTCCCGGACTCCTGCTTTTAAAGCAGATCGGCCCTTCATCTTTCTTCTGCGAGAACATAGCACAGGTACTGACTCTTTTAAAAATTGGATTCAGACATTTATCTTCATCTCTCTAGCAATCTAATTTTACTTACCCATTATAATCTCAAATAAACATTTCTTCTAGTGCTTTCTATGGTGTTTTCATAGTACAAAGGAACCTCTTTTCCTTCGTGGCTTTTACTTTTTCATTCTATTTATTTGTAGCTAATGCTGACTTTTTTTTTTTTAAGTTGAGTAGATTTCTGTTTTAGATACTTAAAAAGTCATGAAATCACAAGTCAATCAAACCTTGCCTTTCCTTGTTGCTGTCTTATCATTTTAGAAAAGATCATTTCTTCAGGTCAAGATATACCACAGAAGTCATCAGTGACACTGGCATTTTAGCGATGCAGATTTCTATGCTGGTTGCTGGCCTTTTCTCAAAAACCAAATATTTATCATAGTACTTTTCCATACCACTACAGAACAGTCTCAATGCAAAGATGGCAAGCACAGGTTAGCCTAGGTAGCACAACAGAAGAGATATCCCTAAAATTTGAAAATAGTCTTTGAATTATTTTTTTCCCTTAATTGTTCTCCCCCAACTATTGGCCTCAGAAGGAAGAGATTCTCAGTTAAGAGTTGTTGGCAATTTTCAGTAGTGTTTAAAACATCAGTATGAAACAAGATTAATAAAATCAAGCCAAGGTGGATCTACTTTAACTAAACATCAGGTATTACTTTTATTCGTGGAAAGAAAAAAATATCATTATTAAAATTAGCATAGTTTAACACAGATTGTTAAAAGGAAATACTGTCAACATCATTTTATCTGAGAATCATTTGTATACTGCCATAACTTGTACTAGAAATCAAAGGAACATTTCATGATGAAAAGTATAAATAGATAATCACTCCCTGGAAATAATCTACTTGGGGGTCATTTGGGAAGAGGGCTCATAACAGAAAATATCCACTTAATATTTCACCATGATCACCCCAACCCCAGTGACTGTGACTAAACAAAAATGGCACTGATCACACAGAGTAGGCGAGAGAGGGAAAAAGGAAGGGAAGGAGAAGGAGAGGAAAAGGGGGGTAGCAACAAAAGACAAGTTTTAAACCCTCACACCAAGAAAGAGGACTAATCTTGAACTTCTAGAAAGGTCACTGCAAAAACTCATATCCAATAAAGGGAACAATTAGAAGACAAGTGACAGATTCTTGAAATTCAACTGTATAAAAACCTTGTAAAGTTATTGAACTATAAAAAGACGAATCACAATTTCCATTGTATCAATTTTAACTGCTTTAGGAATCAAAGTAAGAATTCAGATATAATCAAAAACTAGTACCCTAATTCACCACAAATCTTAGCCCCCGTGGCTTTTCCTTGCCTTTCCAGAAAGTGGTTGTTCACAGTACCCAAGATAAAGTGGCTACTTTCCTGATGATATTACTGAAGGGATTATAAACTTTCAGCTGGGGCTGGAAAATGGCTCCCAGCACCTACATGGAAACTCCAAACAATATGTAACTCCAGTTCTGGGGGATCTGACACCTTCTTTTCTGGCTGCCACAGGCACCAGGCATGCACATGGTACTCTTACATACATGTAGGCAAAACACTGAACGAATAAAAACAAAGCAAACAAAAAAGTCTCAGCCTTTACTTTTAAAACAAATGGAACACTAGAACGCTAAGAAAAAATACCTTGAAACTCCAGTAGTCAGCCTTTGAGAGTCCCACCTGTCTAGTACAGCATCATTCCAGGACCTCAAAGACTTAAAAAACTACTGCCCCCAGATGTACCCCACCCCTACCTTTGCTGACAAGGATTCTGTAGAAATGTCACTAGTTTAACTAGTAACTTGACCACCATTTATTAAAGTCAAAAGCCTGAGATGGATCTTAAGCTTTCTTTTGATAGGCTGCAAACTTTGGGACTAAGTTTTAGGATTAAGATATAAAGAGTATTATTATACCAGGCAGATAAGGGGAGAGAAGCAGTGAGCAGAGACAAAAGAATCTATTATTTTATCACTCCCTTGCCGGTTCATTAGGTAAAATGTAGTAAAGACAAACGATTTGAGCATTTTCTACCAGCAGCCTGTGACATGAAGACCCTTCCAAGTACAGCTCCTCAAGTGCTCAGACTTTAAGTATAACTTCTATATTTAAGTATCTGTAAATGACTCCAGTGTTTCCACTCATTTCACTCTTAACATATGAAAATTCACAACCACAAAGTCAATCTTGATTTTGTATAGCTCCTACTGAATTTAGCAGCATGACTAAAGGCGATTATTTCAGAAATTCCATCCCTAAATTATATCTTCAATTACTTCCAGGTATTTTGAAGAGGTAAGAAATGTTTAATGAACTGTTTATATGAAAATACTACAAGTCACATTAAATGCTTCTTTTTCTTTACAGGGTTTGTCTTCAGTATTGGGAGAGTTTCAAATCCCCTTGACTAAAATAGCAAATCTCAAGAATGTTCTATGTATGCTTTCCTTCATAAATATTTACAATTTTAAGGGTATGTGATTTCCAAATATTATTAATCTAAAAATAATTCAATTAAAAAAATAAATTTGGAAGCTTTTCCCACCTCAATTATTCCACATCTAAAACTCCTAATCTTTACTACTAGATCCCTCCAAATCACTACAAGGCACAGCAGTGGTCTATGAATGTGTGCATGAGTTAGGACACAGGGCGGCATCCTTTGTAAGGGTGTGCAGCCCTGTGAGAATGGAGAACCCAAGTGCCAGATATCCTCATCATGTGCAAATCAGGGGAAAACAAAATGAGCAGCCATCTTCTAAACAGCAGTCTCAGTATCAGAACCAAGAGATCCCCTCTGAATCATCATGTCACGGACTCATGTAAGCATGGCGGGAGGCCAAATACTACACTACACATTTCAGAATGTGACATACCCAAAACCTACCATGCCCTAACTAATGGCTTGAGTGTCATCCAATTCCTGTGAAAAAGGTTGAAGGGTGCTAAGAAACCAGTAATACCCCAAGTAATCTACTTTTAAAGTTGCTTTTTAAAACCTGTCTGTCTGTCTGTCAGCCACAGGCATAGCCATTCCCATTATCCAAGTAAGAGTGGAGTATACTGGCATGGCCAACAAAAACTAAGAACATATGTAAAAAAGACAATGCATGTTATGTAACATATAATTACAATAGTTTAACAAATATTAAGTTGTGTCTTTTCAATGCTAAAAAGCAAGGCCTTTAAAATTCCATTGTCTTAGAATGTTTTTAAGTAGTTACTTTTAAATGTGATTATTTCCTAAACCACACAAAGATAAAATAGAGCATTTATTGATGGAATAACAAAAGTGCTTTTCTTAAATATTCTTCAAAATACATTTGTACAACTTACAATAATATATCCAAAATAACTGTATATACAAAACATTACCTAGTTCTTAATGTATGTGCTTTTTTCCCCAAAAATTACAAAGTAACTTTTTAATTTTTTTTTTTTTGGCAAAGTTCAACCTTAACAGAGCTGACAATTTTAAAGGTTGGTTTAAGAAAATATAACCTGAGGGAAACTGACACGCAAGAGCCAATGACAAGCGGAGGATTTGGAGAATAGTTTTAGTTTGTTAAATTAAAAAAAAAAATAGCGATACTTTTCACATTACAAAAATAAACCAAAATGAAAAGGTCACTGTAAAATGATGGAAAGAATCTGTAGACTTTTAGTATTTCAAATAGCCAACAATGCATGTCAAAGAATGAATGCAAGATTACAACAGTCTTGTATTTACTTTGTATTTGGAGAAGACAGTGAAATAACTGGCCACATTCTATTTTCTTTTAATTGCTATTAATATGGTTGATTTGATTGGCTCTTCGATGAATTTCATCCAAGAAGTTCTCCAGTTGTTCTATTAGCATTCGCTTTTTAAACCTGTGTGAGTAAAATAAGAACATTCTCAATCATCTCTTAATAGCATAAACTAGTGCATACATTTCAAAAAGAAAAACTGGCTTTGGGAAAGATTATTTAAACTAGAATGAAAATGAAAACCAACACCCAAGACCTGTTGGGAACTGCCTAAACATGAGCCAAACAAGGATTACACTAATAAACACATGCTAAAGTAGATGGAGGAAGCTCATGAGGTCTTAACCCAACACAAAAAACTAACAGGCAATTGGGGAATGCTGAGAGAGGGAGAAATAGTCTTCCTCTAGGAAGAGCACACCAACTGGTTATGGAATAACCAACAGTTAGCCCTTAAAACATACATACAAGTAACCTTACACAGACCAAGCAGGTTGTATTTATATATTTGAGAATATACATACATATATGTATATATATATAAAAACAAACACATACATACACACAGGTGTGTGTGTGTGTGTAACAACAATTAATGATAGAAGAGACTAGGTTTGAAAGAAAGCAAGTGGGTATATGAGAGGTTTTAAAGGAAGGGAAAATGTCATAATATTATAGTCTCAAAAAATTTTTAAAAACTTAAAAATAAATATCTGTTGGGGACTAACAAGATAACTCAGAAGATAATGAGCCTCTAGATGACTTGAGTGTTCGATCTCAACTCCTAAAAGTATCCTGTGACCTCCACATGTGTATCAAACATACAAAACAAAGTGGTGCAAACTTGATGAAAGATTTGTAAATTATTCTTCATACCAGAACAGAATTACAGTTTTTCCTTAAAAGAGCTAATCTAGTCCTAGGAACAATGAAAAAGTAGTCATTCTTCCTACCATAAAAAAGAAAAAGAAAAAAATATTAATATACAAAAGGATTCTAAACATTATAGTAAAAGTTGGATCCCAAAGCAGTTACTCTATCCAGTCTTTTTTGAAAACTAAGTGTTAAAAAAAAAGAATGGAAACAATGAAGAAAAGCAAGTGCCTACAAAATGAAAATGGAAAACTGGTAGTAGCATTTAAAAATCACAGTGCTCTACTACAATTTGAGGACTAGGACATCAAGTGTAATAAGGTATCTACAACACAGGGTGTACAGCACAAAATGTTTTTCAGTATCAAATATAAGTAGGTGAAAATTACATATACAAAATCATGACTATCACTGATGCTGTTTAGAATATCTCAAGAATACTAGATGTTCTGTTTTTCCTTCTTTCTTTCTTGTAAAATGATGCAAATATGCACCAAGTTCTATAACAAAAGTGACAGAAAGGCAGGTGCAAGGAACTCAACTAGATCCAAGATTCATCAATATGGGTGCATATGCCTATAATCCCAGCATTTGGAAAACTAAGGCAGAATGAATCTAAGTTTGAGGTCAGGCTGGGGTATGCAGAAAAACACCACCTCAAAAATCATCTGCACTAAGAATTCAAGGTATACT